ACATACATACATACATACATACATACATACATACATACATACATACATACATACATACATTCATACATACATACATACATACATACATACATACATACATACATACATACATACATACATACATATACATACATACATACATACATACATACATACATACATACATACATACATACATACATACAGACAAACCAACAAACACACATAGCCCGTTATATATAGTAGGATAATGAGCGCTAAGTGTGTCTGGTGATTTGTCGGCATTGTGCGTTTGACCCGAAAATCACAACTCCCGCTTCCTTGGAGCTAGAACATTCAGACTTGGTAGGAGTACAGGCGGCAGGATGGGAACAGTTATGTTAGGTGGCGTAATTAGACTTCACCCACGGAGGTTAGGCCTGACAGGATAGGGGCATTGACACTTAGTGTCACGAATTAACTCCATCCTCAGGGAGGAGGGGCAAAGGCGGGAGAGGGGGACGCGGAAATCTTTTTTTCCACCTAATAAGTTGAAATATAGAGGCACTGATGGCCGAGTGGATAGGAGCATAAGCTCACGTCCGCACTTATGTTAGACAGAGCGCAAGTTCGATCCCTGCCAAGGCAAATCCATGCCTTGCGACAAATGCAACAATGGGATCGGTACAAGCGTCAGGCCCAGGTTGATAAACCGGCTTATGAAGAAACATAGTTGTAACCGTAATGTCCAAACTCCAATCGATATGATAAAGCTGTTAAAGGCACGGTTCACGATAAAAATGGTTACTGAGTACTTCCCTTAGGAATACTCAGCGGCTCCCATGGGTGGTTGAAGAGTCCCTCTCACTCTCAAAATCTCGACAGCCAGGGCATAGTGGAAGCCCTGTTGCTGTCCTGATTCGCTTCCCGCGTCTCGATCAATGTCACGTCAGAAAGGTGTCAAAGAAATACAGATTGCTATTATTCGTTCTAGGGCCCATACACAATCACCTGATCGCCGAGTGATGAGGCGATGTTTTCTCCCATTCTTTTTCCTCTGTTATTCTTTTTTCTGCCGCGATCCCTTTTTTAATTTTCTACCTGAAATGGCTAAAAAAGGGGAGCTTTTACTGTAACTAGGGTTTTTTTGTTTACTTAGGCTTATAAGCGGATCGATTTTTGCTTACCGTAGTCTGATAATTGCACCTAGACCCACACGTATGCAATGACGTGCTGTGTTTAGCCCGTCCGAACGTCCCACTCTTCTTCATTCTTCTAGTCTCATTCTCGTCCAGCCCCTTTTTTAATGATTTCTCAAAGCCTTTTTTCACTTCGGAAACACCGATGCACGCACTTCGTTCCTTCGCCTCCATCGCACCATTTTTCATCATAACATCCATTTTTCGTCATAATCTGGGAAAGACTCTCTCTCTGCCGTCAACAGAAACAGCAGTCGAATCATAGCTGCGAAGGTAAACACGAAAGAGAAGCAGTGGACAGTAAGTCCGTGTATGCATCGTAAGTCATCTGCCCCGTCGACGAGAAGGATGTATTCTATCTGAACCTTAACGAGTCCTTCTCAAGAAATCAGGGACAAGAACGGAACGGTGGTGCTCTGGTGGTGGAAGCTGAAGCCACTCGGTCCACGGCAGTCAGCTTAAAGTGAAGAGAACACGGTCTAAGGCAAATCATTCGCTCTGCTGACACTTAGCTGTACTGTTATGCGATCTCGAGATTGCAGCGGGCTGCGCCGCGCGCGAAATGGTAGGCTGACCTAGTTTCGCAGAACGGACTTCCCCTTACAATGCTGCTGAATACGTTTGTTTCTGGAGGTGGCGCCACTAGTTTCTAAGCCTTGATTACGCTCTTCGTCATTTTAGGATCCGTCAAGGCCCCATGGTTCCTCCAAAGAAACGACAGAATCACTTATTGAATCTCAGAAACAACTTTCATCGCATGCTCTTTCCTTCAACGGGCAGAGTTCTGAAGACGGTCACTCAAGCGCAACTGCGCACCACCGAGGGTATGGAGAAAATGAAACGAGAATCTTATTAGTACATTTCAATAGTTATTAAAAATGGCCATGATAAACAACTCTGGAGAAATTCTGGGGGAATTCTCAACATTTGTAACTATTGCTTTGCAAATGATTTGGGGAGGAGCTCGACATACTTGCCGAACTTTATTGATTTCAAGAGCTCTTAGATTTGAACTTCTTTAACCCGAAAAAAGGCAGAGGTGGTTCATTAAGTTGAGAACTTGGGAAGGCTGGCAAAAATCACGAGAGGGAGTAGTTGGCATTTGAAACTTCATGCGTGAATGGCTGACGCACCTCGATCTGCCCTGGACCGACCATCGCTTGACTTCCCTTTCAATTACCACCTAATAATGAGTGGGAAAGTAGAAGTGCAGTCACTGTGCTCAAGTTCTAGGACAGAAGTCAAAGAACAGAAGTAAAATAGATATTGAAACAGAAAGACTAGAGGTCATGCGAAAACATGTCACCGCGGCCTGGAAAAGTTTCACAAATACTAATTTGGAATAGGAGAGACAATACGCATATTGTATCGGCGTATTGCTAGCCAAAAACGAATCTGAATGGTACTTGAAGTATATGAATTTCTCTGAACTAAAGCGATATTTTTAAAATGTCCTGAGAACATATTATAGGGCAAGCAAGTATCTGTCAAAGTCTTGGTCGTTTGACTTTTTATGCTTCTAAGTAAGGATGCCTTTTTTTCCTAGTGGTATCATGATTAAAGTTGATAAAGACAACTCTGCTATATACACCCATTACGGAGAAGTTTCAGCTAGAGTTGCCTACAAATACCACTAGGTAGGTCATCGATACCGAAGAAATCTGAAATTGGAAATTTTGGGTCTCTCAACAAAATCTGCCTAATACTTTTTTCTGCCTGCGGAATATGCTTACAAGAATGCTGCTTGGTAGGGCAAACTTTTCGGCTCTTAGACTCCAAAGACAAAACGGGGACAGTGGAAAGCAACTGGCAACTTCCATGGACCCTTTATAAACTCTTTAGAATGCGCAATTCATTGGACTTTTGGTCAGAATCGTGTATAAATTATGACCTGAAAAGTTTCCGGGTTTTTTTTTCTCAAGATGGCCTACTATTACATATTACGGTTTCCGTTTATTACAGGCGGAGGTGGTGTAGTGGCATGTGGGTAAGTGGCGCACTTCACACACGCGTAGTCACCGGTTCGAATCCCCGATCGATATCCGCCTAGGCCAACCAAGCCCTTCATCTCGGTCGCTTAAGCGGTACCAGATTCGTCTAGGAGGATGTAGGGCTTGTACATTGGTTGACCATCGTAAGTAATTCTATGGGCCACATACGCATTCATTGCGCCACTGCGATCCTGATGGAAGTCGAATGCATGGTCGCGTCCCTGAGACGGGATTGATTAACGCTTCAAGTCTTTAACCTTTATCCTTTAATCCGCTATATTACAAAGATAAGCCTGCCTGCAGCAGACATGAACGACGTGTATGACGGTGTCGGTGCCACTTCCAGACGAAAGGGTTAGAGAAACGGTTTGATGGTTTTCCCCACAGTAGACAGGAGCATCTCAACTATGACATTGTGCTGCTATAACATGGTTTGCTTTTTCGTCGAATGGGAATGTAATAGAGTTATCATCGATTGTTTACGCTTACATGAGAATCGAAAAAAATCCAACTTTTGGCGATCCGGAACACAGCCCAATCAGAAAACATTTCGTGAGCAGCGGTTCTGGTGAAATGGTGGAGAACTATTAGGTGCATCAAAGAAATCGGAAGGATCTTTGTTGACGTCGGAGGCGGAGGAACGGACGGTAAAGCAACATGTAAGTCTTTGTTCTGTAGCTTCTTGTTCTGTGTCGAACGTAAGTTCAGGCTAAGCTTCAAACGTCGGACACGTTCGACACGGTATGAAGCTCAGAGTGGGAACGTTGCATTGCGAAGATCGACTGTTAGGTGGAGTTCGTCACTCTTTGGCGCTATATCCGTTCAGAACAAGGACACTTTATTCAGAACATCGGCTGGAAAAAGCAAAATTTCATCAGTAGACACTGAATTGGTCGTTAAGTGGCTGTTGTAAGAGATGTCACCTTAGCTCCAATGAAGTCCATTGGTTACCTCTCACTCGAGCGAATCGAACCTTTCATTGTTCATTTCTTTCACTTTCTCCAGAATATCGAAATGTTCTCACACAATTCTCAAATTTCATTTAGTTTTGATTCGAAACGTCATGAATAAATATGAATGTTTGAAGAGGCTTCCGTTGAGTAGCATGTCCTATCAACCTGTGCGAAAAACGCTTTTATTGCTATTTTTCCTTGTCAAGCTATTTATATTATAGAGATCTCTTTCAGTGGTCAAAACTTCGAATATAGGCAACAGGATAGCACCAAGGATACAAAGAATGTTTGACTTCCCCAAGTTAGCCCCATACTGCTGCCAAATATAACAGTACAACTGAACGCAATCTAGAGAAAAGAGTTGCCTAAAAGGTAGCTCCACATCTAGAGAAAAGAGTTACCTAAAATGTAGCTTCACTGAACTTTTTGAACATAATCATAGAACAGGAGATGTTTGATGGAGAAAATCTTGCTCTTCTCTCGTTAATAATGACTTATGGACGGAGGAGAGTTGTCGGGTAAATCAACGGGTTTCAAATCTATACATCGTTTTTACTGCGGAATGTTTAAAACTTCTGACAAAGAGAACGTCAGAAACTTGCGAAGAGTAGTTATCGTGTCGATTATAATAATGAAGGGATGTGAGACGTACCAATGATCAGGATTAATTGAGTTTCATTACACAGTTATGGAAATCAGAGAGTAGTCCTAAGAGCTCCTAAATCAAACCGCATATAATGGAAAATCAGGAAATACTGAAGCAAATTTTTCGAGCATTCTAAGATATAAGTCTAGGAGTAAAACCTTTATGACAATAAAAATCATTCACAGTACTCGAAAATTACAGTTTAGGCTAGCGAAGCCCATAACATTAATTGTGTTTATAAGTACTTCTTTCAAGTGAGCGGATCAGATCTCACATGTTAGGAGATGATGCCTGTGTTCAACATATTGATCATTACTGTTTGAGTGTGCAGCATTCCCTACGCTCTAAAAACAATTGATCCGGCCGGGTGGATAAAGAGAATACTAGTGTCTCTAGAAAGACGGCATCGGATCAAGCCTGAGTGTCACAGATAAGCTTTTTTTCGATACTGATTTTTTCATTGAAAAGATATGAGCTTCACAAACCCTGCCATTTCCAACAAAATAAGAGAGTTCGTTTAGGAAATGAAATCTGACAAAAATATACAAATGAGATATGAATCAAGCCACAAATACAGAAATCGAAAATTTCGAATAAGTTGTGTATTGTTGTGTGTTGAAATGTGTGTTGCTCTCACACTAAGCAGAGATAAAGACTGAATGAAACTAACCCATAGCAATGAATTTAATGCCCCTCATGACACAGTGTTAATGTCGACTAAATGGTTTTGTTTCTGTTCCGTGGAGAGTACGTATAAAGCGTTTACTCTTCTTTCGAATGCAAGAAATCAGTCTGACAGCCTAGGTAATGTGAGATGGCCAGATCAGCTGCTCAGAAATTAAAGTTGAAGTTGAAAGTCATTTTGTGATTCCCTTAATAGGCGCTATGAAAAGATGGACAGAAAATGGGTTCTTCCAAGAAACTGGTGATGCAGTAGAGGGAATGAGCGACCCAGGTAACAGCCTTTTGAAGTATGAATGCAATGGCTCGCTGCAAATGCCCATTTCACTAATTGGGGTAGAATTCATTACTCAAGACGTAGAAGTGTAGCGAACTGGTGTATCACTATTAAAATGGACAGTTAGAACTTTTCTTGTCCTGGGCATCATTATTTATATATGGTTCAGTATTTCCGTTTTATCACTCACTTTAAAGCATTGAAAACGACTTTTTCACTGACCTAGGCTCTAATTTTTTCGTCTTATAACTTTGTTGGATTCCATTATTAATGAGATTGGAATTCTTCAGATTCTTTGATGTTGCTTTTAATGTCACATGTTACTTTGAATTTCGGTAGAGCAACAAAAGGCACGGATCACGATATGGAATGGAAACGCAGAACATCATCCAGAAAGGTCAGAGACTGGACCAAGTCAAGCTGAATCCCTTGGCAATGCAGAATTTCATTCTCAATAGATTCAGCCTTTACATACGCCTGGTTGCAGCTAGAAGTAGCGTCAAGCAGGTATGACACACTAACAATTCGAATGCTGAACATGACGGCAGACTCCTTCGAAGCCCTAAATATAAGGGGATGAAATGAGTAGTCTATTTGCAGCTCTCACATTTATGGTATTCGACCTGCACAGAAGTCGCTCCAAATGTGTAGGTCTGTGCTATTACAATCGCATTCATAAGGACAGCGATTCCACAAGCCTCTTAATAGTTCTAGAAGAACCCTCTTCGTAGTTTAAGCGCAATTAGCTGGGATCGATTAGATGTGCGATTTCAAGCCGAGAAGAAAACATGGCAGGGACAACGGCAAGAACCTGTTCCAGTGGCAGGGGAGGTCGAAAAGCAATCAGAAAATTTTCGCGTCTGGTGCGCGCCCTATCTGGAAAGAAAATTTCTTTAACAGGCGTGTCTTCCAGGAGAAACGTAATAAGCATAATGAAATGCACTTCATGTCTTAGAAGAGTGTTATCCATACTGATTGCCAAATTAGTTTAGGCGAATTGGATTGGTCAGTTGTTTTAAGATTTGCCCTTTAATTAATACTATCGTAGAGGTTTGAAATACATAGAAAAGGAAAAGCCAGATTTTCCCCGTGAATGCTAGATATGGAGATTACTTATGGTACTTTCTTGACTATTACTGTTATTGATGCGAATCTCATGCACGGTTACTACTGTAGGCCTTCGCTTCCTGTGTATAGGTACATTCACCCAATACTGGATGGACGCGGCAAACCGCGCGGGGGAATTCGTGGGGATTTAAACGACCCTAACGCCTATCATTGGGGATCAGGTTCAAATTAGATTAGATAAGTAGGGCCAACTGATGCTACTTATGTACCCTACTTCAAATTAGAGCCCTAACGATACCCGCCGGAGTCGCTCGAATCACTAGGAATTTCGCCGCAGTCTGTCGCGTCCATCCAGTATTGGGCGAGTGTTCCGTCCTCCTCTCTTCCTTAGCTATTGCCAACCTTGACACTTCTTAGAGCTTATGGTTGCTCCTTCCGCCTGATAAAATGTCCTGACTACGATCAACGTAGGAAATGATCGAAAATAGCCAAAGATGAGATTCTCTGGTAGAGCCAAATACTAACTCAAGCTCCTTTGTGGTAACTGGAAGGCATACTTCACGATTAAAATGTTTCCCAAGATTTCTCCATGAAGAATAACAAATAGTTTTCATTGTATACCACCCTCGGGTCTGACCGTGTTTCGAAGACCTTGTAAAGAACGTACTATTCGCAGCAGAACAGCTTTGTTTTCAGAGCAATCACTCCCGTTTCACGACGATAGTGAACGGCATTTTTTCCATGCTGTGGCTAACATTTCAGAAACCCTGATATTTCTCTAGGTGCACGGATCTTAGCGCGTCCTCAGCCACTGAGGCTCTGTTCTGCTCCAAACTCTCTTTACCTGATTTGAAAAGATACCTCGGAAGATAGTGATTCGTAACTTTTATGTGAAGAAGCTTTTATATAAGTCATTCGATAGTTGCTTTACGAGCGGTAATGCGATTACGTTTCTCTGCCGAAAAAGCAGTCTTAGTGCGTTGCAGTCTGCGTGCGGTAATGCGTTTGCGATTCCTTCATAAAGCGGTGGGATGAAAATGAACTTGGAGTCATGAAGTGCATGACACCGATTTGTTTACGAGAATTACGAAAGCACGTTTGATGGAAGGACAAGGCGACGCATCGACTGATTTCTGGAGAAGACGGTGCATCTATTGAATTTCAGGAGTATAGAAAAATAGAAATGAAAATAGGCTCAAATACCATCTTTATAAAGAAGGATAATATTTAGTAAGTAAAGTTTGATTCTGCAAAGTGATCTGCCTGTTGAAAGCAGATGTATATGGGAGCTGTACATATCCCTCTCTGGAAGTAAAGTTTTCAAAAAATATTGGTTGGTGGCGCACATCAGAGTAGTTCAAAATCAAGCAGAATTAAGATGTCTCGGAGTCAACGCCGTCGAGCCTCTTTCAAAAAGGGAAAAATCAACCCGCTCCACCTACTCCNCCCCCCCCCCCCCCCCCCCCCCCCCCCCCCCCTCTCGATTGAAAATTATTGAAAATCTCGACAGGATCCCTTTCAGGACCATGTCTTCAATTTGCAGACTGCTTAATTTGAGCAATTACCTTCAATTACCTTCAAGAATTTATTAATAAAAAAATGTATCATTTGTTATGTGAAGGGGAAAGGCATAGCCGAGTCACAGGAAGAAGAATAATGAGGCGTAAGCTAGGCGATACGACTCATTTGAATATAAATGGATAAACAAATATTGGATAAAGGATGAAGTGTTTGCTGTTTATCCCACCCTGCATTCAACTATCGTTAAGAATAGTAGTGGCGTTTTGAATGCATGCGTGGTCTATACAATGACTTGCCGTGGCCAGCAGGTATACAATTTAATGCTCTCATTCTCCAAGATGAGTATGTTACCATCTAACCCACCTTGGGAGATGGATGGTCTCGATGGTCTAGGCGAATATCGATATCGATACGGATTCGAACCCGTGACCGTGCTTGTGTGATAGTGCGCCACTTGCCACCACCTTATCTCTGTCACTACATAACCATCAGTCCTGAGATATACAACAATTAATTTTAAAGTGCTTCCACTAATGCATCACTCACTGCATTGTAGAATTACATGCAATAACTTATGTTATTGCCACCCCTTTGATCATTCAGAATTCGAGACACAGTGAATGTCAAAAAGCTGCCTTAGGGCCTAACTTCCATTCAATTTTTTAATTATTGAAATATATATGAATTGAAGATGAAGTTGACAGACACAAAAAAACGAACCGATAAATTAGAATCACTGTTAGCCTCACTTGAAAGTTTTTTTCTGG